AGCTATAATGACTCACAGGAATTCAGTAACAGGAAAGAGGCACTTACTACACAGGAATTGAATGTCCCTTAGAGTAAATTCCTGCTTTGACAATCACTGTTTAGCAATGCGCATTGCAATTTGTTCTCAAAGATGAAGAGGAAGTTGGAAATGATGACAGAGAAAAAAGAATATAAATTATATGGATTAGATAGTTCTTTACAAGTTAAAATATTTACCTCAGGCTTGAAATGTAACTTCTTCAATGAAAAAATGGGTAATTACCCACTAAATTAAAAACTTTTCTGAGACTCAACTGTTCATTGTTTTTTCTCATCATCTGAATAATTACAATCAGCAGGATAAAATTGCCAGAAAATTCTAGAATGATCATGTCTACTTTTAGGTAGAAGCCATTAAAAAATAAGTAGTGAAGAAAGAATGCTAAACAAATGGATCGGGGACTGAATACTTTTCCCCTTGAGTTTGTTTCCATATTGGCTCACTCTTATAATAGATCCCCCATTTTAGGTAAGATCTGTTGAGAGTAATTAAGCTAGATGGAAGTGATAAGTAAAATGATCGCTAAAGCAATTCCCGTTACTTAATACATGAATTAGCAATGTGTAGTATTTAACTTCCTTGCAACTTCTCTTTTTTGAATTTTGCTTGTTTAGAAAGCCATTTTGTATTTTGGGAAGTTGGTTTATAATAAGATTTCTCCTTGAATATTTCTAACTACAAGAAAATATTATATAAAGTATTTGATGTCCCAAAAGGAAAAAAAAAAAGTAGTCAATTCTGTTTAGATATTCATCCTCCCAATGATTATAGACATAGCACTTTCTTCTTCCAGATTTTTTATAAATTATTACTACCTGGCACTACATTGTCCATCTATCCCTATCATCTCTTCTCCTGCTGGAGCTTGGGAATTGGATTACTTTTGATGATACCTACTTTCATAGCCAAGAGTCAAAATAATCTACTGTGTCTATGTTCTGTTCTATGATTCATACCTGTCCATAACCTTTTCACAAGGACAAGGAAGCAATCTGATGTGATCGTGATAGAAAGAAAGAAAAAAATAAAAAATAAGAAGACAACTATATCACTCATTTATGCATTCATTTAGCAAATTTTGTCCTTATGTGTTTAGAACTGTTACTAGACAAACAATAATAAATACGGGCCTTACTATCAAAGCACTTATAGTCTGGTAAAGGAGATGAGATATACACAAAAATAACTATGACAGATTTGGAAAATAAGTGCCATAAGACAGTAAGAAATATGAGCATCCAGAAGAGAAATAAATTGTTTCTCTATGTTATTAATCTTACAATAGGCATGATGAAGAATTCTTGGGATTCAAGAGTAAAAAAACTCACTCCCTCACTATCACCTCCAGCTCCAGAAGAGTTCCAACTACCCACCAGACAATTTCAATTTACCATTGGATATCTCTATTTGGATATGTTACTGGGATTTCAAATTTGCCATGTCTCAAATCAAATATATCATTTTTCTCCCTAAACCATCTATTGTTCCCTATCTCTACTCCCAAGCGATTTCCCTACTTCTACTACTAAAGTAACCCTCTCTGTATATCTCAGTCACTTTCTCCCTATTGCCAGTCAATAGCAGGTCAAATCACAGACTTTCTACTTCCTTAAAACTTTCCCTCATACCCTTCTTTTCATTTTACTGAGAGACCCTTAGACTTTCAATAACATTTGAACTATTTTCTTAAACTTTTACCTTTCCCGACTGTGTAATAGTCTACCTCTATCCTGCTCACAGATTAATCGTCCAAGTTTATAACCCAATCATGTAATTTCCATGCTCAAACACATTTAGAGGCTCTAAACTAATTTACTAAATGAGTCAATATTTCTCATCCTGGTATTCAACATATCCTGAGGCTGTAATTCCAACCTTATCTGTTCAACCAGTGATTGCCTTACATTTCTAGGATAGCTTATACACATGTTTAATGTTCCTACTCAGGAATTTACATTCATCAGGAACCTCCTCATTTTCAAGCTTCAGAGTTCATCATAATTTCCACTTTTATATGAAGACGTTTCTGATGTCCCTACACACAAAACTAAGCTAGTTGTGAATTCTCCATTTCATTTTTGATTTACCATTGAAGGCCTACAGTATAATCAAACTTGTAATTAGTTGGCTCCTCCTCCTTTTTTCACCACTTTTAAGGCAAGGGCTGAGTCTGATTGATCTCTTTAAACCTTCAGCATTTAGCATAGTGTGTCTAAAAATGTGTACAATCCATTTTTTCCCCAGGAAATTGAATGTTCAATCATTAACGAATGAATTTCTCCAAGCAATTAAATTCTTCAGATACCAATAAATTGATGTTTGTTCCTGCTTGCAAATGCTTAAAACATTATAATCTTTCCTAAATTAATGTAAAGTTCAAAAAGCTAATGGCACTTGAAGAGGGAGTTTCTTCCAGGGACTCCTTTTTGTTGGAATCCCTCTTCATTTAAATTCTCTCAGTCCCAGCAGTCAAAAGCTCATGGATCTAGACTTAAAAGCCAAAGGGGCTTAAAAGCCACTGTAGGGGTCTGTTCAGCTTGAAATACAATTTTGAAAACCTCTGCAAAGAATGACAGTTCCTTTTCAGGAAACTCCCATACATATCTCAATAGAAAGCTTTGCAAATTGGAAATTGTAAAATATTATACCACCAACCAAGTAATAGAAAGTCACTCACTGCCATGTAGTAAGATTCCCTTGATTTTCAGAAAGAGTACAAAAAACTATATTGTATTTATTTAAACCTCAGGCTAACAAAAAAAGTCAGAAAGAAAAAGAAAGCCATCAATTTCTCTAAAAGATCATTATTTAAGAATAAATTACTATGCAAAAAAGCATGGATCTTCTTGACAACTTGTGAATTTAAGACAGATGAAGTACCGAAATATGTTAAGCACTCTAAGTTTGGGGAACATATAAAGCTTTGAAATCAATGTGTTTCCGGTAAAGGGGGTTGGGGGAAAAAAACTTACTAAATCAGCTTAGGAAATGCTTCATTTCCTGCACAGTATCTGGCAAGGAAAACATAAAACAGGTAGAACCAGGCGCAACAAAATCATACAACTATATGGGAAAATCTCTCCAACTCCTAGGCACCACTCAGTCGGTCAAATTATGCTCCCAGGCTAGAAATTTCTAAGATAAATGGAGTGGTTTATACAGACACTTGCCTGAAGTTAACAGACAGGCTTGTTGGCAGAGGTTGAAGAAGGTAGTCATTATTTAACTGCTGTCTCTGCTCCAATGGGAAATTATCTTACTTGGGTTAATAGTTCATTAGAAAGAAGACACCCTTAAAAGAGAGGTTAGGCTCATTACCAGTGAGCTAAAGGAGACAGGTATTTTCCAAAAAATGACCATATAGAAAAATCTGCCAGATCATCTCTGGGTCATCCTTAATCTTTCCACCTTCTTAACGGCCACATTTTGCAGGCTGTTCCTATTGATCCTATTCCACTTTGCTTTCAGAAAGACACGTAATGCATTCAGAGTTTAACGATGCCAGGAAAGTAGTGTCCTGATGCTCGCAGAGCAGCCTAGCCCAGTCTTTCAGAATTTATACTGACCGGACACCTGTTTGTGAGCAGTGTTTTTCATGCCTTCAAGGCTTCTGTAAATCTCTCCCATGCATACTGAAGAGTTACTTCTAAACTGGTGCATTGATTTCTGTGACACCTCATAAAAATTCTTTATTTTAAGAAATCAGATTCTTCGGCTCTTCCAAGTCACTTGGATGGCCTTGACAGCTACAGAAACTTAACCCTGAAATCTTCAAGATGCCTGGTAAGCCATCATATGTAATTTTGAAATATATGAGGATTTGTTCTAAATTTACAGATATATTTGAGAAATTAATGATAAATGTTTTTCAAGGAGTATGCTTAGTTTTTCGTACATTATCACTGGAAATTAGAATTCTATAGGAAGCAAACTTTTGAAAACAGTACTAGCACAATGAAATTAGAATGGAGTTTTTTGGGTTTTTTTCCAGGGCTCCTCAAACTCAGAGTCAATCTTTCCCAACTGTGCTCTTTTATGACAGTTTGTACTTCGGTTTTCTCATTTATTAAGGCTGTTTTGTACTAGACTTACATGCTTATTTCTCCCAATAACACATTTACCACTGAGGGCAAGAACAACGTCCTGCTCATTTTTCATTCCTTGCACTGCTGAGAATATGGTAGGAGCCTAATAAATATTGATTAAATTTAACTGCTCACTGTGGATCTCTCTGGAAGAGTTAAAAGTCAATTACAATCATTTCTTGCAACTGGTCACTAATATAGTCAGGGCTTATGTAGGTACACATATAGCCTTTATCTGAGTTTCAGAACCTGCAGCCAATGGGCAGGGTTTTATGTCTGTAATACCCGAAATGTTATGCAAAATGTTGTGTGTAGATATGTGCATATTTCTGGAGCAAACATCTGTAAACTTTAATCAAATGAATCCCGTCTTTACCCACCCCACCTTCTCAAGGTATTAGGATTCACTCCCCTAAGCAGCTTACTCAACCTCTCAGTTTATCAAAGCCAAAATATAGTTGGGACAAGCACAGGCCAGCATCTGCAATGTGATATTTCCAATTACAGCCTTTCACCCACACACGACAATCTTGTTATTTCTAGACTTATATCTGAAAAGAGGACATTTTAAACCAGCATTTACCCCAGATTTTTATGCTCTGAAAAGGTCACTGTATATTCCCAGTACCTTTATGATGTTGTCAACGACACTGCAAGGCTGCTGCGCCAGCAAACATTTCCCTTCGGTGAAAACAAACCTCCTCTCTGTAGAGCCCTCTCTATGCACTCACAGTCAACACCCACACACTCCACTCAGCAGATGAATCGCTGCATCTAAGTTTCAGGGGAAGCTCCCTGGTGGTAAACTGAGGCTAACAGCCCCTACTAGTGAAATCTGATCCACATTATCAGAGGAATAAGAGAAAATGGTACCTATGTTGTCGTCACTGCTACAAAGACTGGACAGAAGACAAAGGACGGTCACTTGAAGCAGTTTCATGGTGCCCGGGGATTGTCGCAGTGGCTCCTCACTCCAGAGTCAGGCAGGGATAGCTCCCTTCCAGCCTGGCAGGACCTTATTAGCAAATGGAAAAGGTGTGCTGAATGTGAGCAGCCACTGCCCATGCCTACTTATTTCGGGGGCTCTGATAAAGAAGGGAGGAAATACACACACTCCCTTTGGGAGTTCAGCAGAGGAGATTTATTGTTTCAGTCCCTTACAGGAACTTTTTTTTTTTTTTCTCTCTTCCTTTGGCAGCCACTTGTGTTTTTGTTACTACATTATTTTGTTCTTCAACAAAAAGGTCAGGGCGGGTTTTGAACAGAAACAGATCTTTCTTGAGAATGGACCATGCAGCTTTCTAACTTTTGTTTTGAAAGTGCGTTTTGGAGTGGTTATAAAGGGACCTCACTAAAGAGTGACTCAGTTTGGAGAAAGAAGCTTTAACTGCCTGAGGGTTAAGTTTTAGAGTAAAGTCCACAAGGAATCAACTTTTCTTTTCTTTCCAAATTGAAAGCCAGATCAGCAAGGACCGCCTTCTGAAGATAAGTCCAAAATCTTAATAAGTAGAGCATACCCTACCCGTAAAGTAAGCAAAGAGACTTCTGAAGGGATGTACAGGGAAGTGTCTCAGGATATCCCTAATAGAACTCAGCAAAGACATGTAAATGTTCACTGATCATTCTTGGGTTTTATTGGTGGAAAATGATGAAGAAGAAGAAAAAATTACAATACCCTGAGGGTGCAATTGGAATGGCACTGAGGTGGGATGCTCCAGCAACAAACCGGTGAAGTTGGGAGGGATGGATTCTTCAAATCAGAAGAGCAGGCTAGATATTCTGTAGATCGGGGATCTCTTTAATATTAGTAGTAATTGATTAAAACATGGTGAGTACACAGCCACAACCCTGGCTGCAACCCCCGTGTGTGCCAAGTAACTCTACACTCTTCCTCAGCCACAGGCTGCACATCCCATCTCAGATGATTGCCCTTTTCTATACCTTTAGGCATAAGCCTCCTGGACAAAAGAGGGTCAGTGCATCAGTATAAATTCATCTGCTACACACACACAAAAAACTATTCCAAAATTCTACTTTAATCTGTTTATAAGGACTACACACATTTCACTGCTGCATAGGGCTGGGAAGGATTCCTTTAAAGAGGCGTTAGAGCAATTTAACTAATCAGAACTCCCCAGAACACTAGCTTGTTTCATCCAAAGTTATGTCAAACCTCACAAGTTCGATTTTGTGTATAAACAAGACTTAATTTTACTAACTTTTCTAATTTATTTTCTAAAACCGACTACTTTTGGAGTTGTTACTTTATCTGGCATATCCTGGAGAGTATAGAGACAGCAATGTAAGTGAATAAATGTCACATGCACATTCCAGAAATAAGATGGGGTGTGGCCATGAGCTCACCATCAAGTACTCACATTGCCTCACTTCCTGCACTTTGCTCTGCTTTATCCCTGGAGCTTTCAGCACACAGGGTCACCACTGATGTTGCTCACAATCATTGCTATAAGGATTCAATAGCATTTTGATTTCTCAGCCCTGACTCCTAAGCATTTCCATGAAAAAGACTAGATATCTATTCTAAGAATACTTGATAAAAAAAGTATGTGTAGTTAAAAGACAGGACCTATAGATTTAAAAACTAGAACTAAAAAATTTGCATTTTTAAGTGACTAGGCAAAAATATAGAAGTAATATAGTGGGTCATCATTATCTTATAAATCAGAAGATATTTTTAAGATAAAATAATTAAAATAACAGTGATTGCCACTGAAGAGATGACTGATCGATAACATAAACAGAAATCACAGACAGAAATGTAGATATAGATATATAGATATAGATATATTTGCACATATGTGTATCTATGTGTGTCTGTAGAGAGAGATTAGATATATAGTAAAAACAGTTCATACCATGTATTATTTAAGAAATGATTTTGACAAGTTGTTAGCCATCTTAAAATAATTAAAGTTAGGTCTCTATTTTACTTCAAATACCAAAATAAATTTCTTAACTGTTAAAGATTTAAATGTAATAAACAAAATCACACAATTTTAGGAGAGACTATGGGTGACTATTTGCATATAACTGGGTGGAGAGGACATTTTTACATGATATCAAAAGCAGAGCACCTAAAAAAAAGACTTGATCTGTTTCCTTACATGAAAATTAAAAGATTTTGGCTCAACACACCATAAGACGAAATGGCAAATAAAAAATTTGAAAAATATAATACACAATAAATATTTGATATTTTTAATGTGTAAAGACCTCTTAGTAATCGGCAATAAGACAACAACTCTGCAAGTGAAAAATAGACAAGAACATAAAAGAAGAAACAGAGGCCCACAAAATGGAAGAATGTGTTCATCTCACTAGAAATCAAAGAAATGATTATTTAAGAATTGAAATAACTTTTTTTTTTTTACTTTAAAATATAATTAGGTATATTTTCTGACAATGCTCAGTTTTGATGAATGCTCAAGAGTGGTTAATGTCTTATCCTTGGTGTATGGCCTTTCTGGCCTGTGACGTGACAATATACATTACAACTCTTAAAGAATCATACTCTTTGAGCTTGCAATTTTATGGTTAGAAACTTGTGCTAAAAATGAAGATGCTCATTAAAGTTCATGTTATTATGAACATTTGTCAACAACATTAATTATTAGGAATAAGATGGAATATTATTCTGTAACAAAATAGTATTAGAGAAATTTTATACATGTGAAAATATATTATGATACTTTATTGCATGTACTTATGTATTTATGCATTTAATATATAAGTAAATATATACATATGTGTGTATATATATACAGAGAGAGAAAGAATTAGAAAATGTTAACACTGTTTATCTCCTGGTAGTTAATTATGGATGGTTTTTAACTTATATTTGTTTATTTTTCTTAAAAACCTTTTTGTAAACACATATTTCTACCTTTAAATAACAAATCTTTTGTTTTACCTGATACTTTTTGTTTAATTTAATATTTTGAGGGAATATTTATACAAACATTTTATATACATTCTACCTTAATTGAATATTTTAATTATTAGTAAGTATGTTACTTGAGTACTTTAATGAAATAAAATATGTGAGAAGAACTAAACCACCCTAACCTGAGAGAGGAAAAGATGTTTCTGTTTTTGTTTTTTTCTCAATTTGTCTTCTGTATACCTTTTATAATCGAAAAGATAAGTTGTGATTTTTTTTCTTTTGTTTCCCATGCCCAAGGAGATATATCAGAAAAAAATCTTGCCAAGAGAAATGTCAGAGATTTTACTGCCTGTTTTCTTCTAGGAGTTTTATAGTTTTGAACCTTATATGTAAGTCTTTAATCCATTTAAGTTAATTCTTGTATACGATGTAAGAAGGTAGTCTTGTTTTACTTTTTTTGCATGTATCTGCACAATTTTCCCAACACCACTTATTGAATAGACTATCTTTACCCTATTGTATGCTCTTGCTTCCTTTGTCAAATATTAATTGGCAATATACTTGTGGGTTTATTTCTAGGCACTCTATTCTGTTCCACTGACCTATATGTCTATTTTTATGCCAGTACCATGCTGTTTTGATTACTCTGGCCTTGTAGCATACTTTGATATTGGGTAGCATGATACCCCCAACTTTATTCTTTCTCAATATTACTGAGGCTATTCTGGGTCTTTGTGGTTCCATGTACTTTTTGGATTATTTGTTTAGATCTGTGAAATATCCATTGGTATTTTGATAAGAATTGCATTGAATCTATAGATTGCTTTGGGTAGTATGGACATTTTAATGATGTTAATTCTTTTCTTAAATGTTTTTATTGATTTTTAGGAAGAGAGGAAGGGAAAGGAAGAGAGAGAGAAAAGCATCAATGTGAGAGAGAAGCATCAATCTGCTGACTGAACCTGCAACCTGGGAATCAAACTGGCAACCTTTTGGTGCATGGGCCGATGCCCAATCAACTGAGCCATAAGGGCCAGGGCTAATGAGGTCAATTCTTATCCATGTTTCTAATTATTTGTAACTTCTTCAATTTCTTTGCTTCAGTGTCTTACAATTTTCTGAGTGCAGGTCTTTTATCTCCAATTGCACTAATCATCAGAAAAATGCAAATTAAAAACATCTGTCAGAATGGTTATTATCAATAAATCAACTTAAGGGGGTAGAACAAGATGGTGGCATAGGTCACAGCTGCACCCGCAGCCTCCCCCAACCACATCAAAATTACAACTAAGATACAGAACCACCATCACTCAGAGCNGGCCCCAGGCCTGGAACTAGTGGCAGCTGCATTGGTTCATAACTTGGCCTCTCCTGGACACCTCCAAGCCCAGCACNTAAACCAGGGAACCGAAGCAGCACCGAGACCGGGAGGAGGGGCGGGGACACGGGCGGATCGGGCCGGATCCTGGAGATGCGGCCGCGGGCCCACACCCGGTGCTGCGGCCTAAACCCCGGAGGGAATCTCAGCGATGGGGGTTTCCTGGAGGAGGGGTCCCATCCCCACAGCAGGCCCCCAGCCCAGGGCTCCAGGGCTGGGAAGAGACGTCCNCCACATCCACGAGTGACACATTTAAGGGGCTCACTTGGTGAACATCAAAGCCCCACTAAAGTAAATCCTGCTCCACAGAGGTGTCTCCAGCACAGCGGCTCTTTGGCTGTAGCTGCAGCTGGTCCTCACAGCCAATTGGCTGGGGGCTGAATTCCTCCCAGTGACACCTACAGCAACCAAGGCTCAACTACNACGGAGGCCATGGCTCCTTTGGCGAGTCCTCCGGGCACACAGCCCGCAGGCAGGCGCCATATTTGAATCGTCAGCACCTGACTCCCACCTTTGGCCCCGCCCCAGGATTCCCAGAGGCCCCGCCCCTCCCCACCTGCAGCTCATCCAGGCCACTTCCAGGGGCTTTTCTATGCAAGTGGCCTCTCGAGTCTCATGCTTAGGACTTTCCTAAAATCTCTCAAACAAGCAG